CCCATTAGGTGGTTTTCTCTAATGGTATTTGCTGTTTTTATAAATTTGATAAGCTCTGTTAGTAAATATTTGTTGTTTGTATTCAATATATAAATGAATTTTTCTTTGTTTGTACAGTGTTGAAAATTGTTAATTTTCTTTGAAAAATGTGAATATAACAACTCTCTTTCATCTGTGTAAAGTTCACATTTTGTGATATAATGAATTTCATCCTCAAGTAGGTTGCATTTAGTACATTTTCTGTCTTCTGTTTTTATTTTTGGTCTTTTGTGCCTTCCCATCTCGATGTTTAGTTTATGGGCACTTAGTCTCAATTTTGCTAGTAGACCAATGTTTTCTTTATTATCAAGGATTTTAATGTATGGTTCAGTATTTATATTTTTCTTCAGTAATGTATAAGTTCTTAGTTTTGAATCTGGTCTTTGATTATCTTGGTTCCATTTATAATTGTAATATTCATTCACTTTTTGTTTAAACTATTGTTCACCTTCTTTTGTTTTTAAAAATATCTTGTAAATATCTGTTGCTGACTTCGTCCATTTATAGCTTCCTGGGTGATTTTGCAGGTTTTCGTTTATGTTAAACTCTGTTTCTGTAAATGTTGGCATTTGTATTGTTGTTGATATTGGACAGTGGTCACTTCCTGGTACTAATGTTTTGACTTTAAAGTTCAAAATATATTTAATTAATCTATTGTCAGCTAGAAAGTAATCAACAGTGCTGGCACCTCCATTGTCCGCATGACAAGTAAAGTGACTAAGTATGTCACCATTATATCTACCATTCAATATATGTAGTTGATTACTTTTACATAGTTGTATAAGGTATTCTCCAAATGTATTTTTCCTTGTGTCCATATTGTTTCTCTTTTTCATATCTTTATCATAAATATAATTGTCTGGCATTGGAGTATAATTGTCCTCATCATCTGTTATTGTGTCAATTAATTTTTTTGTTCTGGCATTAAAATCGCCTTGTATCATTATTGCACCTTTCTCTTTGTAATTTTGTATTTCTTGTTCAATAGCCTGGTAGGGTTCATGTCTATGTTATTCACATACCACGAGGAATCAGCTGGTGGGACATACACCGTGCATAAATAAATATCTCTTATAAGATTAAAATATTTTTTGTTAAGTTTTAACCATTGTGTAAAATCACTAGAGTTCTGTATCACAGTAATACCAGGTCTTATTGATTTCTTTATATACATGCTTATACCACCAGAGTTTTTCCATGCTTTACTATGTTGCCTGCGAATTTTGGGATGAACATAGTATTCTTCTGGTGTTGGAATTAAATCAATTGATTTCTGGTCTAGCCACGTTTCTGTAAAGGCATAGATGTGATAATTTTGAATACATTTCTCAATATTGATTAACTGTTTTGTTTTAGTGTCTACGTTTTGTGATATTTTTGGAACGTAATTATAACGTAATCCTTGTGAGTTCCAGTGTCCAATTGTCATTATGTTTTGTGTAATAAAATTTTTCTTATATTTATTTCCTTTCATGGTTTTGTGCATTTTACCAATATTGTGTACCACTGCCTCTTGACCTGAGTTGTGCTAGTTGTTTTCTAGGTTTTTTAACGACGCAAGTATAGTCACATTGAGGTGTTTAGTATCGTCTGCGTCCTGTGTAATCTGTGTATCATTTTCTTCGTTGTCATGTCTTTGTTGCTGGTATTCATTTCTCTGTTTTCTGCTGATGGTACTCTTTAGTACTGAAGCATAAGTATCGGTTGGTTTGATGCATTCTTGTTGTAGTTTGTATGTCTAGTTAGATTTGTTTGAAATCCCCATGTATTATTTTGCATATTTCTTCTTGTTTGTGGACGTGCTTCTAATGGAGAGAAATCATTTATTGCAGATTTGATGTTATTAATGAACAGCTTTACACCCTCATTGTGGTTGATATGTATGCCATCTTTCCTAAGATTACGTAGTTGTATGTTATTCATACTGACTCTGTGGATATCTTTCTTGCTATCTTTGGTTTTAATCTTGTCATTCAACATATCCATATGTCTCTTGTTATTTTCCAGCCAGTGTCTTCTTGGAAATAACTCGCATAAGAACAGGACTATATTTGGAATTTTCTGCTTTATAATGAAGATAAGATCTTCATAGTTTTTCCAGATATCGTCACTGCTAGTTCCATTGTCAATATCATTACCAGCAATATTAAGTGTTAATGTTTTTATAGTTGTTGGGAATTCATTTTCTAATATTGCCTGTCTTATGGTATCTATAGTAGCACCACTGTACGTTAACACCATTTGATTCTTTGCTAAATATCTGTTATGTATAGAGGATGACTGAGAATCACTCATAATAAGATGTTGTACCCCGTTTGGTATTTTCCTGGGTTGACGTTGTTTTCTGACATACTGTAGCATTAATGGTTCCTTAGTTGTTTTCTTTGATGTATAACTAGTGTCTTTTTGCTCTGTTGATTGATGGGATGGCTGATTGGTTTCATCTACAGCTGTTACCAACTTTTCATTATTTTTAACTGTTTCACCAACTTTATCTATTTGTTCCACTACAACTTCACATATCTTTTTTCCCATTTTCTGAAAGTTGTTTTCATTTGTGTAGCTGCTTTTTGTTTGTTTGTCCATTTCTTTCTTTAGTCTGTTTATTTCTGAGTCCTTACTTTTGATAATTTCTTTCATTTGATCTGTTTCAATAGTCATTGAGTTGTTTTCAATAATTGTGTTATTTATCTTTACTTGCATCTTTTCTATGGTGTCTTGTTTCTCTCTAAGTTGCATCTTTATTTCTTGTATTTCTTCATCTTTATGTTTTATTTCCTTCTGGAGTATTTTCACATCTACTGGAATATTGTATTTTGTTGCAGTAGCTGAGGCTAATTTATAAAGAAGTTGATTGAAAGTGTCAGTAATTTTGGTATCCATGTTTGAAAACATTGAGATTTGCTGATGATGATTATCTTCAATTAGTTCAACAAGTTGCTGATTATCAATGGCTTGTATCTTTGGTGGTTGTTTTGGTGACGTAGATGTTTCCCCATTTATCATTCTTACTGGTATTTTGCTGGGAGTATCTTCTTTAACAAATAGTAAATGGGTAGATTTGTTTTGGGTGGGAGTTAACGGATTGGTGTATACTTTCACAACTTCATTCACTACTTGTTGGCTGGTATCGCTATTTTCGATGTGACCATTTGACCGTGGTCTGTCTGCTGTTTTTTCATCAGTATCTGTTTTTTCATCAGTATCTGCGGTGTCATCTTGTCTGTATTTTATGGGTTTTCTAGTGTTTCTCTTTGTGTTTCTTCTTGTTGTTTCGGCTGTTTCTTTATTAGACACTTCAATATTCAGTTGTAATTCCTGTTGAATGCCTTTCATTAATATTTTCCCTTCATTCATTACCCATCTGTGGTATGAATTGCCTTGTATTAAAAGTGTTCCATTATTGTATACTTTGATAGTTACTGTGTGG